ATTTTCTGGTGTTTTGATGTTTTTATCAAACAACAGATGGCTGAGGTGGATGCCTGGGGTTGTTTCTATGCCCTCAGTTCTATTCCATAGATCAGCATATCTATTGTGGGGACAGAAACATTAGTTTTTTATTACTGTACCTTTGTAGAAGAACTTAACATCTGCGACTAATGTTTCCAGCTCTGTTTTTGTTTCTCAAAATTGATTTCATTATTGAGTCTCTTCTTGTTCTATATAAATTTGAGATTTTTTTTTCTAGCTCTGTGAACAAATGTTAATTGTGTTTTGAGAATAATTGTATTATTTCTATGTAACATTTTGGTATTGGGACAATTTTGAGCATATTCTGCCAATCTAGGAAATGGAGATGATTTTGCATTTTTAAAGGTGCTCTTCAATCTCTTCTTTCATAGTTCTATAGGATTTTGGCATACAGTTCTTTCACTTCCTTAGTGAGGTTAATGCACATGTATTTAAAATTTTATTTTATATTACCATAAATGAGATTATTTAACTTACTATTTTCTTCAGTGTGTTCATTGTTGGCATACAGAAACACTACGATTTTTATGTCTTTATTTTGTATTTTGAAAATGCTAAATTTGTTAATCAGTTATAAGAGTCTGCAGATAGTTTTATTAGAATCTTCAGTGTAAAGTGTCATGCTGAAAATAAGTACTTCCTTTCTTATTCACATAACTCCTATTTCTTTCTCTTTCTTTATCACTGTAGAGGGCCTGGGGAGATGGCTCAGTAGAATAAACGCTTGCCCAGCAAGTGCAAGAGCCTGAATTCAATCCCCAGTTCTTATTTTTTTTCCCCTGTTCAGTATAATGTTGGCCATGGATTAGTCATCACTGGATTTCAGCATTTTGGGTAAAGATTTTCATTTCTCTTTTCATCAGAGGTTTTATCATGAATGAAAGTTGGATCTGGTCAAGGGGCTTCTTCTGCATCTGTTGAGATAATCATCCCATTTTTTAACCTTCCTTTTCTTTTTTGTGGTATATTATATTTATTAATTTATGTGCTTTGAACCATTCTTGCATCCCTTGGCATTATCAGAATTGGTCATGAAGCATGAACGTTTAAAACTTTCTTTGCATTCTGTTTGTAAATATCTTGTTGAAGATTCCTGCATCTATGTTCTTTAAAGAAATTGTTCTATAGTGCTTTTTTATTATTTATTTATGTATTTATTTTTTACTTCTCAGATTTTGGCATTAGGATATGGCTAGTTCCCAGGAATGAGTATGATAATGTTCTTTCCCTTTAAATTTCATGAATGAGGTGAATATTCATGTCAGATTTTTCTGGAAATTCTGATAAATTTCCAGGGTAAATCCATTGGGTGCTGGGCTTTTAGTATGGTTGGGCTGGGTTTTATTATTATTGTTGTTTCTCAGTCTGTTATTGATCTATTCAGAATTTTGCAACTTCCTGATTAAGTTTGGTAATTCATATTTATCTAGGAATTTGTCTATACTTCCCATGCCTTGCAATTTATTGGAACATAAGTTTTGAACTAGTTTCTCAAAAGCCTCTATAATTTAGTGGTGTACTATTTGCTTTTATCTTTTCATTATGAACTTCATGGATATGAAGTTTATGTGTATTTTCTTTCTTTCATTAGTAAGTTTGGTGAAGAGATTTTTCAATATTAAATAAATAAATCTTTAAGGTTGATTATTTTCAAATTTCAATTTAATTCATTGCTCTGATTTTTAAAATTTCTTTCATTGTCATAAATTTTTCACTTAGAACTATTTTCTTCTTCTTCTTCTTTTTTTTAATGTATTTGGTACAGGTTCTCACTGTGCAGCTCAGACGCATAGTGATCCTGTTTTCAGCCTCCCCAAAGCTGGGATTACAGGCATGCACCACCATGTCTGGTCTCTGTCACTGGCTCAGTGCGCCCAGGGGCAAGGCCTCTGTGGCATGTAATGCTGGCTATCGAACCCTGGTCCCTGCACTTGCACAAGTAGGGGCTTAGTTCGCTGAGCTCTCTCATCAGCCCTAGAACTACTTTTATTGTGTCCCATGATGTTTTGATTTGTTACCTTTTCATTGTCATTTAATTTTAGGAATATTAAAAATTTCTTTGTTTTCTTCTGGGACCCACTGATTATTCAATAGTATATTTAGTGTCCATTGTTTGCAGTTTTTGTGGTTTCCTTTACTTTTGCTTCCTAGTTTTATTCCACTATCCTATTACAGCATAAGCAGATTATTTCAATTATTGTATATTTACTTAAGCATGCTTTATTAAAGGTACTATATGGTGCCAACAAAAATGTATCCTTATTGTTAAAACATTGCGCAGATATCTAAGTCAATATGTTAAAAATGTTGTTTAGTTCTGACATTTTGTTATTTTTTTCTAGTTGACTTATTTGTGAATATGAAAGTCCCTTGGTATAATCTTGATTCCTATTCTTCTTCCTATGTCTTGTAGCTTTTATGATATTGGGTATGTTAATATTCAAGCAATATATTTGCAAATGTTATTTCTTCCCATTGTTTTTTTACCTTTACTAGTATTACTTCCTTTTTTTTGTCTTTCCTGATCAGTTTGGGCTAGAGGCCTGCTTTCTCAGTGATTGGGATAGATACTTCCCTTTGATCTCCAGTTACATGGACTGCTGTTTTCTATCTTTTCACATTTGGTTGAGGTGCTTCCTTTTGAATGAGATCACTCATCCAGGCATAATAAAGTTGGGTTTTGCCTTTTGATCCAATTTTCCCTTCTGTGTCTTTTTATTGGTGAGTTAGGACCATTAACACTTAAAATTATTGTGACATATTTGTTGAATTCTGTAACTGTTTTATATTTTCAGTGGTGACTTCTTTATTTTTACCCCTTGGGATCTGGTACTCTACCAGTAAGATGTTTTCTTTTGGGCTCTTGGGCACTGGTGGACTCCTTATCTCAGTCACTTGGATAACCTTCAATATTGGTCTAATGGTCCTAGATTTCTTTAGGGTTTCTTCTGTTTCTTTATTTCAAAAGATAGCTTTACAGAATATAGAATCCTGAGTTGGCAGTTCTTTTAAGGCTTGAAAATCTACACTCCAAGTGCTATTAGTCTTTAAGGTCTGTGCCAAGAAAAGCCTGGTCTAATTAATTCACCTTTTTTCTAAATTGTTTTTCCTCTTGGACCTTGTAGTATTCTCCTTTTGTGAGGAATTTTTTTATGTGGACTATGATGTGTCATGGAGAAGCTGCTTTTGTTGGTCATGGCTACTTGGGCTTCTATATACCTCGATTACATGAATACTGACTTTCTTCCTAGATTTTCTGCTATGATGTTAGTGATTTATACCTTTTGAGTTATCTTCTAATACATCCTTTACTCCACCAATTCTTAAAAGCTTTTTCTGTCTCTCAATTGCTACTGCATTCTGCTTCCATCTACTACACTCCTTACATTAATAATCTTTGCTATCCATACTTTCAATTGACAAAAAATGGAAGGTGAGCAACCAATGCAATCATAAATTTTTGTATTATTATTGCAAGTGTCCTATTTTTGCTTGCAGTGAGTATTTTTACAAGTTTCATGGTTCTTATGTCCAGGTTTCATGGTCTGATAGCACATTCATAGGGGCTGTTTAGATGGCAATCTTTCATGAAGCCATCTTCATGAAAATGCTAAATCCTCCTCACACTTTAATTTGTGTAAAAGCTGCATGGAAATTATTAAAATGATAACTTCATTACAGTTCTTGGTGTTGCCTGAAATTCTGAATTTCTAAAAAATATCTAGGTGATGTTATAGCTCTATCCTAAAGGTCATATTCAGCTTAAACAAACACAGAAGTTCAGGAAGATTAGATTCCATGGTATCAATCGTACAAGTTCTCTTCATTTCAGTTTGCACAACACTTATAAGGAACTCTAACCTAGACTACATCGTATCTCAGGGAAAATTACTGAGGTCCTGGTCAGAACTCTAGAACATTCAAGCTAAAAACAGTAAAAAGCTTTATGGATAAGAATATTAAACTCCTAAGGAGCTAAATCATTTGCTTATTATAAGATAACTATTTAAGGTACAATGAAGATTCTACAAGATATGGGGACAGAATAGAGAGTGAACAGCAGACACATTAAAAAAAAGTTGAGACGGAACAACAAAGGATAATTAAACTAATGCAAATCCAATGAATTAATTTATGAAAGGCAAGATACAAAAGGTAAATATAGAAATTAGCATTTTAATATTAATATAATAGTTATTTCAAGGAACACTTCACTGAGTCAGGTCATTTCTGGTAGGATAAGGCACATAAGTTCAGAAGCAATCATGGGCAGCTCCATGTTTCCTCAGGTGGTGAGAAATCCTGGTTCAGGTCTCTGGCATAGCCATCATGTGCACTATTATTTCTTTTCTTATACTAGATCAGAGCCTGATATAGTCCTCATGGATTCAGAATAAGTCCAAGGATTCCATCATGGGTCTCTTACAGGACAGTTGATGAGGAAGGACAATCATCTGTCTCCAACAAGAATAACTCAAATCAAGTTGCTTGCTTTGGCAGCAGCAATAAAAGTATGAGATATAGGCTAACAAAGTCTAGGCAGAAATAATAGAACCCTCCCAACAGTGCCAATGCTTGGAATGGGCACCTTGGGTCTCTCCCTTGGTGATCTTGATGTTTATTGATCTTGATGCTGGTTTTCAACTTTCAAATCTTCCATCTGAGAATGGAGAACTTCAACGTTCATCCAAAATAGAAAATAATGAATGTACAAATGCAATGTAGAGACTTCTCGACATCAGGCATTCTCTAACACAACATGGATATCCTTAGTCTGGAGTCTCTGTCATCTGGTTTTTATATCATTGCCCTGGAAAACCTAGGAGGACTACTACTGAATATGAACGCTTTGAAGTATAAAGAGCACAAGGTTACAAACTGCCATCACTATTTTGAAGCTATGCATTGGAGAAAAGATGACATGCAAAGGTACCAGGAAAAGAGGCAGGTGAGGTAGGCATCCTTTACTTCTATGGCAAGAAATACATAGGGGAAATATAAAACACAAAAGTACATTACAGCAGAAAAGATCATAAAGGATGTCGGCAACAGCCAAAGACATACACTTCTTTCTGCAGTAGCATTATTAGAAAGTAAAAATAACAGGATCAACAGAAGACTTCAGGAATGCATTAGCTGCTTTCACCACCTTGTTTGTGGCAGAGCCTGTGATAACAGAAAACAGGAATCATGGATGAGGGACAGCAAATAATAAGGCCTTTTCCTCATTCTCCCTGATCATGTTTTTGCATCCTGCATTATCTTTCCTTGATACAACCTATGTTTCTCTTCTTCCTGCCCAGATTCTCCTTTAGTCTTCTCTGGTTCCAGAAAAAAGCCAGCAACAGTGAGACACTAAACACCCAAAGAGTAACTGCTCCAAACTCAGGGTTATACTTAGCTTACCACATGAGAAAGTGAGAAAAGTAGCTACATTTCATGTCTTGCGATTCATTTGCTCCATCTATGTCCCCTTCCTTCTTTACTCCATCTTCCCTCTCCCCCATTAAAGATTTCAGCCCACCCAGACAGAAAGACTACCTGGACAACCAGAGAAAGCCTGAACCAGGATGTAGGGGAATGGCTGTGAAGACTGTCACAGTTACCCTCTGCCTGGCCTGGAAGTACAGCCCCTGGGAAGATGCCCAGCTTCCTTAGTGGGAAGGGGAGGAATCCTGGGATTGTGCTCCTACCTGCATGTGTGCGAATCCAGGCTCTGGCCTTCCTTTCCACCAGATCCCACTCACACTCCTGGTCCATCCCATTGGTATGTAGCCAGACCACAGCAAGGACTGTGGCCCAGACTGAGGGGTCCACATGCTGTACAATAAACAGAGATGTCCCTGAGCTCCCCCAAGCTGGGCAGGAGGCCCCTCAAATGTACAAAGTACTTCATGCTTGTCTCGCTTGCCATCCCTATACTACTAGATTGAATTATCTATCTGTCTAGCTCCTTATACAATTTGCATAAGATATTGCCAGACCCTGAACCCAGGTCAATGATTCACTCAAATTTAGGGTACAAACAGCTTAATTGCTGAACTCCATGTAACCACGAGGGCAGGCTAGAAGCTGCTAAAATTTTCCAAACAATTACCCTCCTATGGTAATCACTTTTTAAAAAATTTTAATAATTATCATCCCCCACAAAAAGGGTGTGAATAGTAGTCACATTTTCAAAAGTGAAATGGGATTCATACAGAAGTGAAATTATTTGCTCAAGTTAGCCTCCCAGCAATGATGGAGACGAGACTGAAGAGTAAACATTGTGATTCTAGTTATGTTGCTCAATAGAAAATCTTAGCCATAGAGTAAAATATGATCTTCTATGAATTTTCACCAACTTTTCCCTAAAGATTTGGGTTTTAGATTTGGCAAATCTAAGGAAATTCCTCTCTCATATGATGACTTTTAAAATGTGGAAACAGTAACTATCATTTTTCTCTGAGGAGTCTCATTTCAGACCAAAATTCCCTGTGACAAAGAGGAACACCCATGTTTATGTTCTTAGTCTAAAAACAAAATTACAGTGATTTTTAAAATACAGTGCATGAAAAAAAAAAATAAAATACAGTGCGTGGAATGGCCATGTCTGGAAGAGAATATATTTATGAAATTCCATGCCCACAGCTCAAGAACATAGCAATTCTTCAGAAAGTTCATTACCTCTACAAATAAGGTTCAAATATTCTGATTCACATTGGTTTGAATATGAAAATGCTTACCATACTGTCTATGAAACTTCTGATTTTCATATAAAATGCAAATTAAGGCTTGCTCCACTTTTCTACTCATATAGTTGAGAATTCTGAACTAAAGGCAGTATTTGATTTTTATTTCTACAATATTTTTGTTGCTGTTATTGTTATTCATGGGAAGTTTTAAGTGTTCAGAGGTTTTAGAGATCCTGATTCTCTTGTCTAACACTTTGACTCGCAGTTTTGCCATGTACAATTCAGAAAACCATACATTTTTATCATGATTTTCATTGAGGTCTGGGGTGACAGTACAGTGGTCTAAGTGCAAAGACCCAGGTTCAATCCTGGTACCACATGCTGTGCCAGCCACTGAAACTGGGCATGGTGGCGCACCCTGTAATCCCAGGGTGGGGGAGGCTGAGACAGGAGGATCACTACGTGTCTGAAGTGCTTAGTGAGACCCTGTACCAAACAAACAAATAAATATATGATTTAAAAAATTTTAAAGGGCCTGAGAAATAGCTCAGTGAAGTAAGTGTTTGCCTGGCAAGTGCAAGGTCCTGAGTTCAATCCCTGGTGCTGCAAATACATACATACATAAATACGAAAAAATTTTCATTTAAAATATAAACTTCTAAAAATTTGAACTATGCGTTTTCAACTAGTTTGTAGTTAGTGCAAGTATTTATCATTTAAAGAATCAAGTCCCTTACTGAAATTCAGATACACCAACTCTGTTGCTTACTCAGATTTGTGGGTCTGGTTATGCCATTGGAGGAAATGCTGGCCCAGGGTCTTGTGCTCCATAACTACAAGGTGGGACTTCACAATCCTTGTATCATCCTCCAAGTCCTTATCAATTATCTTTTTAGCTATTCTACAACAGCATTTCTAATAGAAAGATATTTCTAGACATATAAGCATCTTTTAACTTTCTACTAACTATACTTAAAAAGTAAAAAGGAACAGGTCCAACCATCTTATTTATTTTACTTCATTATATTTTATTCTATTTTTGGTGCTGGGGATTGAACCCAAAGCTTCTCATATGCTAACTATCTGCTCTGCAGGTAAACTAGTCATATTCCCCGCTACTAATATATTTTATTTAATGCTATACCTTAAAAATTATAAGTTTAACATATAATCAATGCAACATAACTACTGACAAGATATTTTCTATTCCTTTATTTTATATTTCTTTGAAATTAATCCCAGTATGGCATACTGTCAAGCAGTTTTGTTCCTCGTTTGCAGCAGCCACATTTCCAAGCCTCCATGGATACCAGGAAATTATGGAATATCTGAGTTTTATTCCATCATCTTCTACATTTTCAAAATTGAAACTAATACTTGACCTTCACACTTTCAGGATCCATCTCTTACATAACAATTTCTCTGAGGTGATTAGAAGACTTAGTAAGCTATCCTATACTTCTGAATACAAGTTGCCCATATCATCATATTTAAATATATTTGAAATAACTAAGTGGCTAGTGTTAGCACTGCCATCCTGACTTCAAGTAATTTTCCTACCATCTGGCCCACCTCCTTTAGTACACACAGCAGCAATCATGAGGTGTTATTGGAGGTTCTGGTGACAGTCCTGACACTAACTCCATCTCTACCTGAGAGGCTCAGACACATTATGAAACTGCTCAGCTTTCAGTTCCTTCATCTTCTGTGCAGCAGCATGAATAAGACCGACCTTATTTAACTGAAGTGAAGAATAAATAAAATCATGAATGTCAACCACTTAGTGCAGTGCCTTGCATAGAAAAATACCTCACAGAGGTTCAGTTGTACAACTCAGATGGTTAGCAGTGAATATGATTAAAACAGAAAAACTGGGCTGGGGAGATAGCTCAGTAGAATAAGTGCTTGCCTGGCAAGAGCAAGGTCCTGAGTTCAACCCCTGGTACTGCAAAAAAACAAAAATAAAATAAAAAATAAAACAGAAGACCATTTTTGCTTGTTTTTTGTCATCCATCAACCAATACAAGCTCCTACTGCCTAGCCTGTTAATTTTTTGTTCTCTCAATGCTAACATAAACAGAAAAAATTCAACTTCTACTTATTAGAAATTAACTTAGGTCTATGTCCCCTCTATATTCTCCTTTTATAGGTGGGTCCCAAGTCACCCATTACAAGCTTCATTCCATCGAAAACATACACACCTCATTCTCCTTTGAATCTCACCTCATCAGGGTGTGCAGCTTTTATGTCTTCCAGCTTCACACCGAGGACCCTGGCCAGATCTTCATTCAGATTCCAGGAGCCATTTGCATTCTGGAGGAATATCAACTGCACAATACCAATTTCTTGGAGGAGAAAAAAAGAGAGAAAGAGAGAAAGGAAAGGAAGTTTTGAAGCTTGTGGTCTGTTACCATGTCTCAAATAGGTTGGTGAATTTACAGACAGGCTGTAGCAACAGTGCAACAGGAGGAATGTCATTAGATAGCATCCAGATCTAACTTCAAACTCAACTTTTTCAAAGAATGACCAATAGTACAGCGGTCCAAATATGATGGCAGCAGAGTTCTGCAGAGGCCAGTTCTGCCTGCAGATAAACTTTGCAGGAAGAGATGGGAAAAGAACTCTGTGTCATTAGAAGTCACCCCAGATGCTAGTGGTACAGAAAGCTTTAGTGTCATGTATTGGTCACTAATGTAGCAGAGCTAACCATGGCAACTATAAGCACTGGGCAAATCTTGTCTGTCCTGATATCTTTCAAAGAGATGACTGCCTAGGTAGAAAAGGCTACAAGACAGCGTGACGTTGAACATGTCTCTTTCAGTCCCTGTAGATGAACAATAAACTGAGGCTCATCTCACCTTCACAGTTATTTTGCAAACTGGTTTCATTGGCTGAAGAATGAGGCATTTTCCTCAGATGCAGAGGCCCTAGGGCAGGTGGTGCACATACGATCCTCGGGCAAGGGCTACAACTTTGCGCTGCAACTTGATCTATGTGTGACAGACAGAAGTTGGTGAGAATACATTCCTAGGAAGATGCTCAATTAGACTGAGGCCATTGTGATTTATAGACCTACCAGGAGGCCCACCATTCTTCCACTCTGACAAGGTGTTAAGGCAAGCTTTGCTCCCCCTAGAGAAATTAGGTTGCATACTGGAAGCACAGGAGGATTGCGCCACTATAAAAGCTGAAAAACACCAACACAGACACAGAGGCTGAGATGCCCTGCTCTCTAGAGTAGCAGCATTAAGCCTGATGATCTGAGACACTCCTTCCCATCCATGTTAGCTCTTTAGTCACCACCATCGCTATATAATTTTTTCTCTCTTGAGCTTCCTTTTTGCATACACCCTCACTCTCAGAGCTCTCTTTCAAGTTTCAATTCCAACTTTTATAATCTCTGACACACGAACAACTTTTAATCTGAATCTAAGAGGCTTCTTCCAACTAAGTCTTAATTTAAAAAGAATTTACCTTCTTCAAAACTATTTCTCCTCTATCCTTCTCTAAAAGTTATTGCTCAATACTTTTCTCATGTCTTCAGAGCTGTGAACCCCAAACTTCCTGACATTTCTAACCATTTGCTGAACACCAAACTTTAAATTTCTACACTGTTACAAGAAGTGCTATCATCTAAAAAGATGTCAGGCTATCCACCAGCCTAATGCAAACCTTCTGGATTTTCTCAAACTCAGTGAGGCAATTCCTAGGAAGATGCTCAATTAGACTGAGGCCATTGTGATTTATAGACCTACCAGGAAGCCCACCATCCTTCCACCCTGATGAGGTGCAACCCAGACTTTTAGCCAGTGGAGGTACAGGACCTTGTACATTGGAAGCACCGAAGCGTCGGGCCCCTGAATAAACTGAAAAACAACAACACAGACACTGAGACTGAGACATCCTGCTCTCTAGAGTAGCAGATACTAAGCCTGATGATTTGGGATGTATCTTCCCATCGATGTTAGCTCTCCAGTCACCACCATCACTATACAATTCTTCTGTAATGGGCCCACTTTCTGCATGCACCCTCACTCTCAACTTTTGATTACAGTAACTTTTGATTACAAACTCTGACACATGAAAAACTTTTTTTCTGAATCTGAGTCTCTTTCCAATTAAATCTTAAAAGAAATTTACCTTCTTTAAAACTATTTCTCCTCCATCCTTCTCAAAAAGTTATTGATCTAAAATACAGGCAAAAAAAAAAAAAAAAAAAGCCAGCCAAATAGCTCAGTGGATTAAAACACCTGCAAGCAGGAGCAGGGACTGGGGTTCGAACCTCAAGCCTGCCATGCTGGGCCCATCTCCGGGGCGCACTGAGATGGCAACTGAGACTGGGCGTGGTGGCACACGCCTGTAATCCCAGCAGTGGAAAGGCTGTAAACAAGAGAATCACTACAAGTCCGATCTAGTAGTGAGACCCTGAAGACCCTGTAGACCCTTCCCTAAAATACAGAGGAAAAAAAAGTTATTGCTCAAAACCTTGCTCATGTCTTCAGAGCTGTCAACCCCAAGCTCTCTGACATGTCTAGCCATTTGCTGAACACCAAACTTCAAATTTCTACACCGTTACAAGAAGTGCTGTCATCTAAAGAGATGTCAGGCTATCCACCATCCTAATACAAAGCTTCTGGATGTTCTCAAACTCAATGACTTAAGCATCATCTCTCCTTCAGCCACACCATCCTTATGAAGGCAACCTTAGTGCTGGTGAGATAACTCAGTGGACTAAGTGCCTGCTTAGGCAAGCGCAGGGACCAGGGTTCGATCCTGGGAGTACTTGCCATGCTGGCCCTGTCACCAGGCATGCCGAGCCTGCAATAGAGACCAGGTTTGGTGGTGCACACCTGTAATCCCAGAGCTGGGGAGGTTGCAAACAGGAGGATCACTATGAGTCGAGCTGCATAGTGAGACCCTGTACCAAATAAATAAATAAATAAATAAATAAATAAATAAATAATTGGTTGTGATGCATGACTGTTCCACATGGAAAAATTAAATTTCAAATAGTTAACCTTTAAAATACAAAATCTAACTTATCTAGTATTCCAACTCTGAGATTCTTGTTTTATCTTATTTTTTTTATTTCACCTGCACTATGTATAACTTTAATGCTTCTATTTTTTTCTACATAACTTTTTTTCATCTTTTCCTCTCCATTTAACTTAAATTTCAAGTTTAAAACTTTCCACCTTCTGACTGATGCCTTCAATCCCATATTCTTAATTTTCTTTTTTCATACCAATTGCCAAAGGTGTTGACTACTGTATAAATAACTGAAATAAACTATGATTGCTTTAATAATTTCTTACCAATAAAAAAGTTAGGATACTCAAACTCACTTGGACCCTCAGCATTCCTTGACAAATATTTGTTTCTCTCTGAGCATTCTACTTTCCAAATATCCTGAGTGCCTCTTTCAAACCTTGCCCATTTTCCTCAAATACTGCTTTCTTTTCCAAGCCCAGGCCCATTCCATTTACCACACAGTCACCAAGAAAGCAAGTCAGCCTGATTTGAACTATTTGATTATTCAATGTTTATATGTATTCTCTATGTTTTATATTTCCCTGCTCCCCTGACCACTTTCCTTTAAATCTCTCTGCCAATGAAATACAGAAACGTTGAAGAATAACCATGAATTCTAGGTGTAGAAAGCCACAGAAACAAAGCAAATTAAAAACTTTCCAGGCTGCAGAGACAGCTCAGTGGCATAAGCTCCTGCCTGGCAAGCGCGAAGTCCTGAATTTGATCCCTGGCAAACATTCCACAACCTTTTCACTTAAGTAATGTGTTCATATACTTAGGACCACTTCATGTATAGGGGCTCAAATGGGATAAAACTCACAAGACTTGCATGTGCTTATTGAGTTTGAAACCAAAACAGGCCTTGGAATCTCCCTGTGAACCAGGGGCCCCTGGACTGGCTGGTTGAGCTCTTTGTTTACAGCAATAAAAGCTGTGAAAGAACTCATGACTCCGGATTCCAGGCTGATATTCAGCACATCTTTTCTTTCTCTTGCTGGGGTCTCTCGGAAACCCATGTCTTTTGTCTGGATCACAGACTTCGCAGCAAGACGATGAATGGTGAAGCTGGAGAAATAAATAAATAAACATCCTGAGACTCAGCATAATATATATGATTGAGACAACTACTGGAGCTCTCAAAAGTTAGAAATAGGAGAGGAAAGAAAATGTCAGAGAATGAGGAAAAAATATTTGAGGAACTTAAGAAAACCAATTTAAGGAAACAAATATTGTCAGAGTCAAGAGAAGGATCCAAAGAAGGAAAAGATAAAAATAAAATACAAGGATAGTAGAGAAAAGAAGGAAATGAAAGAGAAAAGAAAGGGAAAAGAAATTAAAAAAAAAAAAAAACTGAGTGCTCACTTGGAGTCATATTTGGGTTGTAGAGAAAAGGTCACCTTTTTTTCAATATTCTTGCCCTGGAGTGTGTACTTGAGGCGCACTTCTGCTGTAGCTTCCTGTGTCTACAAATCAAAAAAAGGCAAATATGCTAAAAAGGAGAGCTAGCTAGCAAAAAGGTCAGAACCAGGGCAGCTCTCTATCTTCATACACTACAGTTTCTGGCTGGGAATCAGCTAGCCCTGAAATAATAAAGAAGATGGAAGGCTGGCTCTTCTTGGCAAGTACACCTTGCTGAAATACAAATCCACCTTCTAGAATTAAGGCAATTGCCCCACCGATGGCTACTCTAACTAGAGAACAAAGAGAAGTGGGGACTCACCGGCATCTTCCCTGTCAGTTGAGCATAGAAAATTAACCTCTGACCCCTAAAAATGACTGTCTGTTCTGGTGAAAGCATGTTAGCAGTCAGGTCAGGAGGCAGATCCCAGCTCAGGGAGACGTCTTCCACCACGGACTGTAGAGACTGCTTCAGGGTCCTAAGAGCCTGATAGAGAAGAACAGAGTTAGTACCAATATGTCAGAATGACACCATAGCTACTATTACCAGTGGTCATCAAGTATCAATTGCTATTTGATGCAATACATGTTATGCCTAATCTTTTTTTTTTTAAGGTTTTCTTGTTTTAAAAGTTCAGAAGGACTTTTTTTTTTTTTTGTGGGGAGGGGGCGGGGAGGGTTGGCTCAGCATGCCTTAAGGGCAGGACTGGTAAGGCATGAGGGTCTGGGGATCAAACCCAGCATCCTGAGCCTGAGTAATTTGTTTAGGAGACACTTAAACAACTGAGCTAATGGGCAGGTCCCCAAAAGGATAAAAGGATTTTTTTTGGGGGGGGGGGGCAGGCTCAGGATGCCTTCAGGGCAGGTCTAGGTTGACTTGAGGATCTGGAGATGGAACCACAGCATCCTGAGCCTGACTGCTTTATTTAAGCAGGCACTTAAACAACTGAGCTGGGGGCAGGCCCTCCACCTCAGTCCTTAACTGTACATATAATTATTTCTCCTCCTTTGTAATAAAGCTAAACCTGAGAGATTTAATGGCATAAATGAGAGTTTTTTAAAATGTTAGGAAAAGGAGATTCCTGGAGAAGGACATTAGGTAAAAGACCTAAAATTTATTAACTGAGAAAGAGTTTAGAAATATAATACAAGCTGTACTTTCTTGGTGCCCACTAATAAATAGCAATTTGCCAACACATCCAGTCTAGTAGACATATTACACTTGTTTCTGCTCCTCTGCTTTATATCCTGTATAACAAGGGAGGTCCTCAGTAACAGATCTGGGGGCTCAGAAATGAAATGAAAGCCAAAGTCCTCTGTCTCTCCTCTTAAAAACAAAAGCCTTCATCTATTCCAGTATCTTTTTCTGGGCTTCCAATTCCTAGAGCCAGAGATCACTCTCCAGGTACTACAGTGGTGCCTTTTCCAAAAGTATACAGGAAAATGGGATGCCCCACTGCAGGCTAAGGATGTGGGAAACACATTCTAGAATTGAGCTTTGCCTTGTCCTTGCAGCAGCATCCTAACCGAGTCTCATATGTGGTCTTGACTGTCCACGTCTGAACCCGAGCTTGCCCTCACCTTGGCCTGCATCCTGTCCTTGCCTGTGATAAACTCAGAAGTGCCCCCTGATACTCGAGCAATGCTTTTTATTAGGCTGGTGGAAGCACCTTCTCCAATACCAAATGAGAAACATCTGTAATTATAAAAAGGTGGAAGTTAGAGACAGCCACTCAAAGGGAAGTTATCCAATCAGCACAGAATGAGCAAAAATACATGAGATGGTTTGCATTCTTGACTAAAGCACCATAGCTATTTTTATTAAGCAGGTCGTATATTTTGTGAGCCATAATAAATGTTTAAAATTAATGATAAAATTTAATCATCATGAATGTCCTACAAGGTGGCCTATGGCTCCATTTTTCAGATAAGGAATTGCAAAATGAATTTTAAAAATCTGTCAAAGGTGACACCCCTAATAAACATTAGAGATAGAACTGAGACAGTGTTCTTTTTGAGTAAAAAAAATCCCTACAACAAATCAAAGAAAAGACAAAAGCTATCATTAGTATCTGCCTGACACTGTTCTGGCGCTCTATCTGTCCTGGCCTGGTCACTTCTAGGCAGAAATGTTCCTCCTGCTCTTCTAACTAGAAAATTCTCACCTTGCTCTAGTCCACTGGCACTAAATAGCTTATCAACATTCATCTGGCTTCCTAAACAACTGTCTCTAATCAGAAAATGCGTTAGTAATATTAATACCAGTGTTTTTAGGTCCTAGGTCAGGGAACACTTTTCACTGTAAATTAACACATGGAATTTTGGCTTATGTATCAGTCTCTTTTAATATGAGTCATCCTCCCCAACTCTATTGATAACGGCATTGAGTCAAACTAAACTAACCTATGTGGTGTTACTATAAATTTTCAAGGATAAAGACCTTATCCTTAAATGTCTAATCATTATTTCTAATTATAGTGATCGAATCAAATCATTTTTTTTCCTTTAGAACATAATCTACCAGTATCTGGATACTATCAACTTTCAATTTCTGACATGATCTTTGAACTATACCCTTGCTATAAAGTATGCACATAGCTTGAAAATGCTTCCCTATATAAAAACAAAATTGAAAAATTTTGATGCTTAACTTCATGACTAGAATCTCTCTAAAGTGCTTAAGGTAGATGATAATAAAAACAATACTAACAAATTTTGGTGTAGAGCTTATTTTATCTACAATACAATTCCTAATATTTTGCTTTTATTTTTTATCTCTCAAAATAAATCTGTAAGGTAACTAATATCAGTATCATCACTTTCAATCATAAAACCTATGGTTTGTATCTCAAACATTTAGCAAGCAGAAGAGCTAAACTTAAACACAAGAGTCCTTACTATATCATGATTTTATAGGATTTAAGTATATAAACTAAAGCATTTTACAGGGGTTCTATTCTGAGCAATACTAGAAAACTAGACATTTGTTTCAATCCAACAAAGAACTAGAGAATGTAGAAATAGTATTTTAAATATTAAAAAGAAACAGCAGAAGACCTCCAGGGCAAGAAGAAACTATGAGGTGAGGCTTTAGAGAGGAGGGAAACCAAGAGAAATAGGCCTGGTATCTCAGACTTTGCAGACAGTACTAAGTACAAATGGATGGTTGAAAATCTAAAGTGCTCCACAAAGGTAGAAGGGGAAAAGCAGCAATTTAGGTCTTTCAAACAGAAACTGTCCCTACACATCAAAGTTTTTGGTTAAACACTATAGACCTAGAGATTAAGATGAATTAGAAACAAGCCAGCCATCATATAACTGAAATTCATAGGACCATAACTGAACCATTGCCACCTCGAGTCTAGCAACCCATTAGAAATGAACAGTAGACATCTCAGAGAGAAGATATCCTTTTGACTCCATGATGAGTCATATAAAATATCTGAATATTAGGAAAAAGAGTAGAAAAATTTCAAACATTAGGAAATTATGCAACATATTTGCAAGTAACATAAACATAAAAGGGAAATCATAATAATAATTAAGAAATATTTTCAAGTAGATGCCAGTGCAAAAGTAGGATTTAGGTACAGATATAATTCTGAAAGTATATTAGAAACAAACAGTAAGGGCCTGGGGAGCTTGACAGTCTAAGTGCCTGCCTGACAAACCCAAAGACCTGGGCTTGATCCCTAGTAACACATGCCGCGCTGGCTCCAGGAATCATGAGCACCTCACACTGGCCACCAAAACCAGATGTGGTGGCATATGCCTGTAACCCAAATGGTGGGGAGGCTGAGACAGGAGAATCACTATAAGTCTGAGCAGCGTAGCAAGTCCCTCTACCAAATAAACACAAAAAAGATTCTTAAAAAAAGAAACAAAATTAAGTCTGAAGATCAACTACCTAAGTATTCATATCAAGATGTTGGATAAAAAAAATAACTAATAAACCCAGGAACAGAAAAGAAAGGGAAAAAAAGGCAGAAGCAGATGTTAATAAAATAAGACCATATACTATACAGGATGAACAAACCAAAAGGATGGTTCTTCTTTTTTAATTTTTGTTTGTTATTTTTGTTTTTCTTAAAAGGATGGTTATTCAAAAATTATTAAAAATGATAAAGTTTTAGGTTGAATAAAGAACTAGGAATGACATATAAAATATTAGAAGCAAAAATGTAATATCACTATAGGTTCTAAAATATTAAATGATATAAATATATCCAATGTTATGAATAATTTAAAGACAAGAAATTTGAAACTTTAAATAAGATATTCAAACACATATAGCCAAAAATGTATTTATAAGTAGTTCAAAACAAAAAATTTCACTTGAATTTTACAGGTCTAAAAAGCACATGAGCAGATTCTTATAAAAATTTAAACAAGAAAATCATCTAGAATTTAAGGGAAAAAATACAACTTTTACAACTTATTTTATAATATAATACTGATATCAAAATCTGACAAAATACTATAAAAATATACACTTACCTCCACAAAAGTAGATAAAAAAAACCCTAAAGTAGAACTAGCAACTGACCCAAAAAAATATATAACAGAGATGAATATATCACAACCAACTTGGATTTACTGAAAAAATGCAAAATTGTTCTAATATTTAACAAAAATCATTATATATTCCATATTAAAAAAATAAAAAATAAAATCACATAGACTTATATCAATGGATGTATAAAATGCATTTGATGAAATCCAGAAACCACTTATAGCACCAAGAAAGAAAGAAGAGAGGGGCTGGGGAGACGGCCCAATGGAATAAGTGCTGAGTTCAATCCTCGCTTCCACAAAAAAAGAAGAAAAGAGAGGAGAACTCTTAGAGCACAAGATTCTTTGTTGTCTACACGCTACGAAGGCCAAAATCAAAAGGTGCTATTTTGAGAGTAAAAACAACCTCTAGTATAAGAACATATATTTCTAGTTCATAAAGTAAAAAATATGCCTATATTCACTCCATAAAATGAATTTACAGATGAGTGGGAGAAGAACTTCAATCAATACAGAAAACAGTAAGAGTAGGAATGATATTCAAAATTATAGGACAAAATAAGTTGTCCAAACAACTAATAAATATGAAAAAGTATGTGAAGTTGAGCTGCCAAGAAAATGTAAACGAACAGCAATATGAGATACCACTTCACATATGCAAAATTGGCTAAAATATAAAGACATAAATGATACCAAATTTTGAGTAAGAACTGAGGCAACTAGAGGTCATCCATAAAGCTGGTGTAAACTAAATTGTATCAATGAATATTATATCAATTATATATTGATAGAGTTGTTTTATATGTCAAGCAACTTAGAAAACTATTAGCATGGCCCAGAATTCTACAACTCCAACTACTTAAAGAAATGTCTATCAGTAGAACACAGTTATATATTTACAGCTGTCCCCTGGTATCCTTCAGGGACCGTTTCTAAGATGACCCCGTATGGACATCAAATATGCAGAAGCCTCCTAGAGATATAATGTAGTATCTCCATAAAATCTACACATTTCCTTTTATAAAATTTAAATCATTTGAAGATGTACGATAACCAATACAGTGAAAACTGCTTTGTCAAAATTGACAGCAGAACCTTCAGATACAAATAGTCAACTATATAAATATGCATGAGAAAAATATACATACAAAAATGTAAGAATGTTCACAGAAATATTTTTAACCCTCACACTAAAGCTCATGAGCCTGAGAATCAAAATAAGTGATAGCATTACAGCATCTATTATTTTCCATTGAATATTATAAACCAAAGAAAATTATAGCTAAATATAAAAATGTTTGCATCTCAACATACTGTTGAAAATGATAAAAGCTGTATTCACAAAAAGAAAAACAATACTGTATAATTCACTTGCTTTAATTTAAAATCAAGCACAAACAACCCGTTAGCTCTGGTATAACACTAAGTGGAGTTATAAGTCCAGAGAGCTGCTCTA